ATGAGTACTATTGTTGATACCAGTATTAAGATGAACATTAATATGAATTTGAAAAGGCGTTCGCGCAGGAATATTATTGAGCTGAATATAAGTGTTTGTAAGAATTATCACTAATACTGATATACATTTTGAAAAATAACGCGAATACGAATCTTAAAATTCTATTTTTTTGCAGAGTACGAAGATGTGTATTAGTATTCGTAGGAATATTACTTAGATTAATATATGTATTCACGTTGATATAAGCATTAGTCTGTATATTCATATGAGTATTAGTCTTACTATGAATAAGCTTATGTTTATTAGCGTTTGTAGGGGCATTAGTATTCATATTACTATTCGTAATACTGGTAATGTTAATATTGGCATGAATATGAATACTAAGATTGATATCAATACCAGCTTTACTATTAGTATTACTATGAGTATTCGTATTCATGAGAGTCTTAATGTTCATATTAGTCTCAATATTAGTTTTAAATTAGTATCGGTTTTATGTGTAGTACTAGTATTAAGATCGTATTTATATGAATATGAGTGATTTTTCGTAGAAGTATCATCAGTATTAGCACTAGTAATAGGAAGTTTTGGAGTCTTTTGTTTTGCATTTTTAGGCTGTTTTTTGATTTTTGATTTTGAATTTTTGGAACCTTTGGAATTTATAAGATATCATGTGAAAGGTTGGTCAAGGGTGGTGGGGCTAGCACATATATATATATATGTATATAAATTTATACACATGTAGCTATGTCTATATGTGTGCCTATATCTGTCTCTATATATAGTGTGTGTATGTGTGCGGGTTCTTTCATTGGGGGTCCCCGTAGTTTTGAACGCTGCTGGGGTTGTAGGAGGTAGCTATACTAGGAGTCATACTCCAAAGCCCTAAACCCTAAAACCCTCGAAGAGGAGTTCAAAAACACATCGCCTAAACCCTACACCCTACACTCCAACATGGTGCCTTCCAGAGTCGAAACCATGAGCCCTACCGCCCACGTGTACATCTTCTGGACCCTGCCGGGGTTTGGGATCATTTTGGACTCGCTTTTGCCTCCAGTCCCGTAGCACTCCATAACTCTACGCCTTGCCTAAACTCTTTGGCCTTGAACTCTACATCCCAAACCGATGAACCCGTGAACCCTAAACCCTAAACCCCAAGCTGAAAGTGTAGCATCATCCGAAGCTTCAGCCCGTCCGATCCCAGAAATCTCCAGGACCAAAAACCACTTCAAGAAGCTGCTAGCGCCGCTTCAGACACCCATCGTGCAGGAGTACGAGGCACCCTGTTTAGGGGGTTAAAGGTTTGTTGTTGTTGCATCTTAGCTGGCCAGTCCGGTGCGTGGCGTTCACGCCTCCAGCTACTGAAGCAACTCCATGCAGACGACTGCACTGCTGGGTGCCTCCACGAGCCTCACTGCTGCCCAGTGAAACTGCGTGTCAACCCCATACTTACCGCCGCACGCGCAGCCCTTCAATGTGCACAGGGCTTGAAGGGTATAGAGTTTAGGGTTTTGAACAGAGTCTTCAGGCCGTCTGGGCTTCATTATGGCTTCAGGACGCAGGGATGCCTTGACTCTGCACAGCCAGGTGCCCCATCCCTTTAACCTACCAGGGAGTCTTACTCTTATCTCGTCTAGGCCTTCTTTTGACCTTGTAGGTTTTGTGAATGCTTTCAAGGGTTGAGGGTTTCGGCTCTGAGGGTTTCCGGTGCGCACGAGGACTACATTTGTTTATCCTGCACGTCCAACACCTACTATAGTCTCCGTTGTAGTTTAGTTCCTTTTCTGGTCGAACAGGTAACCCCAAAAAGGAATTGCAATGGAGACTATAGGTATACTCGAACCCCAAGAGACTGAAATCCTAGACAAACGAAAACCGCAGGTGGTTGGCATCCTCGACACATACGTCAACTACACGATGGAGCTGGTGGCCAATGCTACCGGCCACAGCGTCACTTGGGACTTTACGGGTTCCGGACGGTTTCGGATTTGGGGTTTAGACTGTAGAAGCTTGAATACTTAGAAACACAATTCCCTTCACAACCCTATTCGAATCGGTGAGGCCTAAACCCTAAACCCTAAACCCCTTTTATAGTATGTCTTAATTAGGGTTTAGGCCCTATGTAAATATATATTACTCGCCCAGCCTTGCAGCACAAACCTTCGGCTCCACTCCTTGCCGGAAGACAGGAGCTGACTCAGCTCCAGAGCTCAGGTGAGTCGGAACACCCCAAGCCCTGAGCCCAAAGGGCTTTTTTAGGGCCTATAGGGTTTATAGGGCTTAGGGGGTTTATAGGGCTTGTAGGGTTTTATAGGGTTTATAAGCCCTGAGCCCCAAAAAACCTCAGACCCTAAACCCTGAACCACCGATCCCAAACCGTAAGCCATTCATGCCAAGGCCCCGGAACTTCAAGCCTTCAAGCCTCAACCCTAGTAACCCTACCCCAAGCCTTTCAAGCCTAAACCCCAAACTCTAAACCTCAAGCCCCAAAGCCCTCAAGACTAAACCCCAAACAGGTGACCCACAAACCCCAAACCCTAAATCTTAAACGCAAAACCCCTGAGCCAAGAACCCTAAACCCTGAACCCTATAAACCCTATAAACCCTATAAACCCTAAACCCTATAAACCCAATGAGCCCTAAACCCTATAAACCCTATAAACTCCATAAAGCCGTAACAAAACTCCTAAACCCCATAAACCTGAACAAAAACCCTATAAACCCCATAAAGCCGTAACAAAAAACCCTATAAACCCCATAAGCCCGAAAAAACCCTATAAACCCCAGACCCTTTAAACCCTATAAGCCCTAACAAAAACCCTAAACCCCAGACCCGAAGACCAGAGCTCAGGTGATTTGGAACCGAACCTCTGGTCGAGGGCTCTCCGAGCCCCGCGGCCTTCGGCCCAGCAGGCAGTCGGCAAGGATTCTGCTTAGGGCCGTTTTTTGGGTTTGGGTTTGAAGTTTAGGGAGGCAGTCGGCAAGGATTTAGGTGATTAGGTGATTAGGGTTTAGGGTTAGGGCCGTTTAGGGCTTGAAGTTTAGGGATTATAGGGTTTAGGGCCGTTTAGGGCCTGGAAGTGTAGGGGTTAGGGTTTGAAGTTTAGGGTTTAGGGCCGTTTAGGGTTTGAGGTTTAGGGATTGGGGTTTAGGGTTTAGGGCCGTTTAGGGCTTGAAATTTAGGGATTAGGGTTTAGGGTTTGAAGTTTAGGGATAAGGGTTTTAGGGTTTGAAGTTTAGGGATTTGGGTCTAGGGTTTCTTGCTAGTTAGCCAGGGTCTAGGGTTTGGGGTTTGAAGGGTTCTTACTACTGTAGATTGAGCCAGGGTGTAGGATTCAGGGGAGGTTCTTACTCTTCAAACTGTCCCTAAGGATCCATATACCCAAATTGTATGTACGATGGACTTAAAGGAGTCCCCACATAGGTACTTTGGGACCAACGTATACGCTGTTTGGGTACGTGGATCCTTCCTTAGGGTGTTCTTACGGTGATGGTGATGATGATGATGATGATGATGACGATGACGATGATGATGAAGCTGACGACGAGGATGATGATGATGGTGGTGATGCTATTTGGTTGCATTTGTTATTCGATTTCCTGTCACTTGGTGTCTTGCCATTGTTTCCGAACATTGCTAGTCTTCTTCTTCGTGTTAATACTCGGGTTGTCATTGTTGCTATCCTTTGTTTAGCTTCTGCAGACTCAACACAGGGGTTTGTAGGGTCATGGGTTTCGGGGTTAAGTGTCCGGGCTTGGGTCTAGTAGTGTCCGCATGGAACCCGGTCTTCGGAGTTGAGGGGGCTCTCTAGTTTTCGAGTTGAGGGCTTCTGCGGAATGACTTAAACTCCACGCAACGAGTTGGCAAACAGCTGGCTGCAACCACATTGGGGTAGTTCTCCTATGAAAAGGACCCTGAACGCGGCCTGAATGTAGAGAACGAGGTCCTTGCAGATGCAAACTTTATGGCAACGAGAACATTGACACGGCTCGGTTCTCACTGACAGAAACACTAGAAACCCTAAACTCCTAAACCCTAAACCGTATAAACCCTAAACCCCTAAACCCTAAACCGTATAAACCCTAAACCCCTAAACCCTAAACCGTATAAACCCTATAAGCCCTAAACCCCTAAACCCCTGAACCCTATAAACCCTAAACCCCTAAACCCCTAAACCCTAAACCCCTAAACCCTAAAGCCTACCTNNCCCTAAACCGTATAAACCCTATAAGCCCTAAACCCCTAAACCCCTGAACCCTATAAACCCTAAACCCCTAAACCCCTAAACCCTAAACCCCTAAACCCTAAAGCCTACCTTGAGCCTACCACGGCGTATCAGCTGCTTCCAGGCAGGAGCTCCCTCCGAGGGCCCGGTACATCAACGAGATCCTGATGAACCTTGGGCTGTCTTTTTGGATTTGTGTTTAGTTTTTGGGCTTTAGGGTTTAGGGTCTTGTTTTTGGGGAATCTAGAAGCCTGGAGAGCTAGGACTAGTATTCCCCAGCGTTTCCTAATGCATATACATCACACAAAGCCCCCCCCCCTCGTCCAACGATTCAGACTTCTTTATCACGCCTCTGTCAAAAGTACGTCATCGCGAGGATCCGGGCTTGTGGGACCACAGTTAGGGTTTGGGGGTTTAGGGCTGATCAGAGGGCAGTGTCGGTGTCTCGTTCCGGGCGTTTCGCCGTCGATGGACAGTCTTGTTGTTTTTTTGTTGAGCCTTTGCAACTGTCTCCGGGGTGGAAGATCTGGGTTAAACTTATGGCTTCAGCGAAATCCGTGAACCAAGTTTGACCAGTGTTGCACCCTCTGGGCTCTTTCTGTAGTAGTCCTGAGCAGCTTTTCTTCCCGGATTCTGAGACTGGTCATGCAGTTTAGGAATCGTTGTTTGTTCCCCGTCATGTGTCAGAACACACTATGTGCTCCGTCGTCTTCTGCCCTTGTTGAAGCCCTTTCTCCAAACAAATCGAGAAGCCACAGGTATCTGAACAAGGAGATGGAGGCCGTTTGGAACTACATCACCATGGTCGACCGGAAGCGCTGGGGTGTTGGAAACGTCATCACCTCCTCCCCCTACGGGCCTCATGGTGAGCATCCAGAACGCTGGCGCGCAAACGGCTCCTTCCCTCTCCCTGCTGCTGCGCCCAACAACACGATCCTCCTGCAGAGTCAGAAGATCAACCTGGCGCGCTGGCTGCAGCAGAACCCTCAAAGAATGGTTGCACTCAATCCGCTACGCTTCACGTAGTGTTGAATCCAAGCTGGTACTATTCAAACATAAGCTGGAAACCCATGCAGTTTATGCCTCGCAGACCCCGATATGATATTTTCCGATCTATGCTTGTTCTATGAGACTGCAAACGATCACAGGTGCTGAAGCTGAAGCCGGAAATCGAGAAGTACGACAACAAGTATGCTCAGCAGCTGCAGGCAGATCTTTCTGAGTGCGCCGGTCAAGCAGTCCACGGAGTTCAACGCCAGTAGTGGCAACAAGTCATGCGAGCTGCGCAAGCAAGACAATAGTCGTAGAACCTGTGGTAGCTGTAGCTCAGCAGCAGCCCTAAACCCTAAACCCCCAAACCCCTAAACCCCAAAACTCCTGAACAAGCTTCGTCAAAAGTCTGTTGCGGGAGTGGCAGCGGTCTGCCGCCGAAGTTCGGTCTGAACCTCCAAGTCCAACGGCAGCAGGAGCTGCCGCCAAAAAGCCGCAGTAATTGGCAATTGGGCATTTTGATAAGGGTCCATGTACCCAAAGTACCTATATGGAGACTACTTTAAGGCCAAAGTTTATACTATTTGGGTACATGGACCCTTAGGGAGAAGCACAATGCAGTGATTAGTTATTCGACTACAGAAGCCTAGACCTTGACGCTGATGGCGTTCCGGCCAAGCCCTTGAAGTGCAGCCTATGCACCGTGCAATGCCCTAAACTGTACATGTTTCTTGGCAAGTAGCATCTCCCTGTTGAAGGCGGACTACGAGACACTGGTTGACAACATCAATGATGCAAGTCAGAAAATCAGCGAGACTTGCAAGATCAAGACGTGGGTTTGGTTTAGGATGTAAGATACCATTGCGCTTTCGTGACGCTCTTTGTCCTTGCCGTCAGCGTGGCCGTCGTATGCTAATAGGCAGGCATATAGTTATGTTTGCTATCCTATGTAATATAGTAGTCTGATATAAGAGAACTCGTCGTGACTGGACGTGGTGTTCTGCGGCTACCAGCACGGACAGCAGCAACAACAACTTCTGGTTCTACTCAGTCAAGTAGTACAACGACAATAATGACCAGCACAGCTGCTATGGCGACGACGAGGGGGGGCGGGGTCTTGACAACGACGAACACGACGAACCACTGCCGCTGCTGCTGCTGCTGCTGCTGCTGCTGCTGCGACTACAACGGCCACTACTGTCCCTGCGAAGCGCCTACTGGTTTGCCAAGCACGCAACCCGAAGATCCTACACCCGGAGACCTCAAACTCCCTGAATCCGAGAGCCGATGTCCGCTGTCCGAGGACCTCCGTGGCCGCCTCTGGAAGATGGAGGACTTCGCGATTCAATTCATTGCCCTCCCCTCCGGGGTCTGGAACAAGATTGATGCGAATTAACCGTGTGCTTTTGCAACTTTTGTTTGGGAAGTTTTGGCCCATGTGGTATCATGACACTCGCTTTTGTCTTCCGTGCTTGCCCAGCAGAGGCAGGAAGCGTCCAAAACATGGACCTTTTCAGCACGGCTTAGTGGTGCAAGGCTTGCAAGCCCAAAGTGGATTCTAGGCTCGTTGACAGATGCAGCAGATGCCCGGACAGAGGTGTCCAAGGACGGCTAGCTGCACCGAGCCCTCTGTCTCAAAGCTGCCGGACCTTGCAAGGGACTTTGGGGCTTCTTGGGTGGATGGTTTCGGGCTTATGGGGTTTATAACCCTAAGGTTCCATGTACCCAAATAGTATATACTTTGGCCTTAAAGTAGTCCTTATATAGGTACTTTGGGGGCCAAAGTATATACTATTTGGGTACATGGACCCTTAGGGTAAGGGGTCATGTATGGGACCAAGAGCTTCTTCAGGGGCCTTGAAACCTGACAAAAGAAGCAGCAGGGATTTCGAACCCTCTTGCTTCGACTAGCCCTGTTTTCCTTAAGCTCTAAACCCTTAAACACCAAGCCCTAAACCCTTAAACGCTGAATCCTAAAACACCGTTGAAGTATTCTAGCTGGTACCGGTATCGCTTTAAGTAGGCCCTAAACTGTACGATCCTTTGTGTGCCGACGGTTCACAGAGGAATGCCCTACCCCCGCGAAAATTATTCAAATGCCCATAGCACTCATAGCACTTAGCACAGGCTGTCGGATGTCTGGTCAACTTTGGAGACTCGTTGTGACTGTATAAGTTTTGCGAAGATTTGTTCAGATGCCTTCTGTAAACGTTTGTTGCCCTGGACCCCATACACCCAAAACCCCAAAACCCCCCCAAACCCCTAAACCCTGAACCCTAAACCCCTAAATCCCTAAACCCCTTGTAACCCCTAAACCCCCAAAACCCCCAAAACCCCTAACCCCAGAACCCTAAAGCGACAACTGGAGCCTGGGACGTGAAAGTCAGGGGCAACCTCCCGACCGCTACGTGCGCTTCGGCGCCGAGGAGCGCTGGCAGTCCAACAGTGGCAAGGCTCGGGGGGTTTAGGGGCGATAGGGGTTTAGGGTTTCGGCTTGTAGGGATATAGGGGCACAATTAGGGGCGATAGGGGTGTTTAGGGTTTCGGCTTGTAGGGGTATAGGGGTATAGGGATATAATTAGGGGGGATAGGGGTTTCGGGGCATAGTTGTATAATTTATGGGTTAGGGGTTCAGTTCAGGGTTAAGGCTTATAACATAGGGGTTAAGGGGGTATAGGGGTTTAGGGGTCTGGAGGTTCAGGGGATGAGATGCTCAGGGGCTAGAGGTTTTGGATTTTAGGGTTGGAGATTTCAGGCAGCTCAGGAGGCTTGCCCTGGTTCTCCACATAAGAGTTCTATAGGGGGTTTCTAAGGGAGGGTTGTAGAGGCGTTCCGGCGACACTCTTTGGTACGATTTTAGGGTTTTCAGGCTTGGCAAAGGCTTTTAATCGGGGTTTAGGAGATTTCTTTGGTTTTGGGTGCTTTCAAGATTTGGGGGCTGTTGTTTGTGTTTAGGTTTTAGGCTTGGCTCAGGGGTTAGGCTTTACTACACCGTGGGAGACTTTCTTTGGTTGCCTATCTCGGGTTTTTCCAGGGCTTGTATGTAAGCTTTGGCAGATTAGGGAGTATTACCTAGAGTCCCCATTGCAGTTCCGTTTTTGGTTAACACATTATAGGTTCCTAGCCAAAGACTTGGTTAACCAAAAACAGAACTACAATGGAGACCA